TTTATTTATTAAATTTCTATTCGGCCTTAAAATCAGCAAATTTTAGCCATTATCAACCGATAATGAGCGTGTTTTTCATACCAAATATCACCAACAAATTTTGTCATTCTCCTGAACTTATAAATATTATGGAGAGGACAAAAGGAGAAGAATGCGAAATCTGATACTCAACGTATACACAGCGTTCAGATTTGAACTACATTTCACGCTAAGGAACTGATATTTCCGGCTCGTTTTAGAAAAAGCCTATGTGCCGTTAGTTTCCTTAGGCAGATGGACGCTTTCATGGATGAGTTAGAAATATGAGTTCTTTATTGCAAAATGTAGTACATTTATTCCTATATACGAGAAAACGCTTGAGCTTTATCGTCTGCGCGTGACCAGAGTAACTCATGATAATTACTAAAATCATCCCCGTCCGTGATCTCTCGTCGCACAATTGGAAAATTCATAAAAATGCTAAGGAAAAACACCGCATCAACATTTAAACATTGCTAAATTTCCCTGCATGAATTTCTCATTTCTGGAGAAAAGAATGAATATTTTTCCTTGAAATTCGCGGATACTTTAGATCAAATCGTAAAAAAAATTCTTCAAACGAAAAACTGGAAGAGAAAATTCATAGTTTTCACGGAGAATTCGCATTTTATAAGAGAATATATTTGGCAATGTCTGAAGGCCCATACGGTGTTTCTCCTTTATGCGGCAGAATTGGATGAGGTTGGACATGGTATCTTTGACTTAAGAACTGCAAATTTTGATGTTTACAATGTCGTATTTTACATTTGAAGGGCGTTCTTCCTTTCTGAAGATAGCATAGCAAAGACAAGCAAAGTATTAAAAATGTAAACACTGAAGATAATGCGATTTTACTGCAATATCCTCTATTTTAGAGTCAACATTATTTTTCAGATCAAAAAATAACAGATGCAAAGGGCGAACAAAAATTGTTAAAAAATAACCGAGGGAGAAACAATTGCAAAAATTACAGTATTTAATTAAACTGAAATGCATGGCTGATAGCGGGAAAAAGGCGCCAGACTTCCCGGAGACACACTATTGGCAGATCGCGTTCATTAAGAAGATCAATGGCCATGAGCTAAATTTTTTTTTATTATTTTCTTCTGCCTCGCGGGTTTCGCCTCCCCATTTTACTGCTAGCCCCCCCCCCCCTACTGTAACAGCTCCAAGATTTCAGATCGATCGCACGGCCAGACCTTTGTTCTTGTCTCGCTGGCTTTTTGCTGATACAAAGAATTGACGCGTTGTTAAACATACGACTATAAAATTGATGTTAACTTTGCTTGATCTGCTTACATTTCACTGATTTCTTCTGATGAAATCCGTTATTATTGCAGTAAATTACCACTAAAGCGAAAAATGCTCAAGGATTGGGTCAGGAGGCAGAAATGGACGCAGAAACAGTGCGAGAGAAAAAAACTTTGACCCAGCTGAAGCCATAATTTAATTGCAGACGAGTTTCTTTCATCTATATTTTCTCAGCGTCTTAAAATATCCATGATTATGTTTCCGGGTAAAGACGCTGAAGGGTGATTTGAGACACACAGAAAACAAGGTAGATAGATTTAACATCCCTCTGAACTGATTTGGCGCCAATCTTGTCCAGGTTCTCTATCAGACGATTTTCACCAAAAGACAGTTTCTCAGAGGATGCAGAAAATTAACAATCTGCCGGTTGATTATTGAAATTGATAGACAAAGTTATAGACATGGGAGACAAAAGGGGTATTGGCGATCATTTTAGTGGAAGTGGGTGGTTGCAATGGACAATGGAGTAATAGAGAATAGACTAACTAACGGCAACCCGTAACCCTCGAGACATCCCTTAGTTGGTTCATCATTGTATTCCTTAGTCTATAGGAACCACCAACTTCAACCAACAGGATCGGTCCAGGCTCTATATGTCTTCTTTGTCAATAGCTTTGTGTCTATCAAGTTCAATACTCAGCCGGCTGGCGATCTTAGGCTCGCGGCAAACACGATGCATTTTTTCGGTTTGAGGCAATTTTCAAAAATGATTATTTTTCTTTTTCATGACCTTCTTGCGGATTTTCCGCACTTTTTCAGTACTTCCGGACCTCCGTTGGAAAGTCAGTACTATTACCGGACTTTCCGGAATCGTAGACACCCTGGAGTAGCAGACGGTGCCCTCTCCATATACTCTAGGCTCCAGAACACTGTGCGGCCGCGGCGCGCGGCGCTCTCATAGAGAAATTCGTCATTATTACGATCCATTGTAAGATGACATCGTCACCGCTCCCCCCCTTCTCCCTTGCCTCGTCTACACGGGACGTCGCGTCGCGTCGTCGTCGGGACACGCAGCGTTACGAAACAAAGCGTCCGCGTCGAGCGTGGATCGCGGATCCGAGCGCGGAAATGAGCTCGCTCCTTCCGCGTTTCGTGGCTCGTGCCCGCTCATCGTTGCCAGGAAGTGCACGTTTTCCCACGGAAACCCATATAAAAAATCCGCATTACGATCTGGCAACCTCGAGGCTCGCGGAAAACCGGGAACTGGGAGTAATAACTGGAGCCGTGCCTCGGATCGTGCTGTGTCGTCGCTCCTGTGGCGTAAATCGATTTTCACGTGAACCCTCCTCTACGCATAAAAACGTGCTTTTCAGGACTCATGGGGAAATAGAGATACGCCCTTACGTCCGAGAGGCGACGATGTGAGAGTGCACGCAGAGCGCGGTTAACCGTCCTTTCCGATCTCGCCTGGGCTTCGGCTCATCGGGATCAAAGACAATGCTTTCCTGAGACCACGCATTGTTAGAGCACCTTCAGTACTTTGCCGTGCTGAGGAAAAACGCCGTATGAGCATTCAAATGTTGCCAAATTTCTTCTAAGAAGAAGTTTGTTTTTGATGAATATGGAGATGTAGCATGTGAGAGGAATTTGAGATTTGACTGTTGATTCGTACGTAAAAGTTCGCGAGAAACACGATGGTGTCACTGGTTTTCTCTGAAATCAACTCCCAAGCTCAAAATAAGCTCTCAAGTTGAGGCCAAAATGGAGGGGATATCCCACGCTATATTGAGACTGAGAGTCCACCTCTACATCAAAACAAACTTCCATGCAAAGATAGGAAGCAAATACATTGACAGAGCTCCCACTTTATTTGGGGACTCCAAAATTGAAAACACGGCAACACTGCTAATGTATTTGCTCCCTATCTTTGCATGGAGAGTTTGTTTTGATGTAGAGGTGGACTCTCAGGGTAGCGTAGGATACCCCCTCCATTTTGACCTCAACTTGAGAGCTTATTTTGAGCTTGGGAGTTGATTTCAGAGAAAACCAGTGGCACTATCGTGTTTCTTGCGAACTTTTACACATGAATCGATAGTCAAATCGCAAATTCCTCACACATGCAACATCTCCATTGCCGGCAAAATTTTGCCACGCCGAACGAGGGATATGTAATGTGAGGCACGCGCAACACTCAGAGCCGCCACTAAATTGAGAGCCTTACCAAGTTGCGCTACGGGTAATTGCACTCCAGTCGAGAGCAAATGGCTCGGATTCAATTTATTGCAGGTGAGGTGAAACATCTCCAAAGTTTCCCCGCGAATTGTTCCGGGAAACCATGCGTGATTTTCTCACTTAGGAGCCTCGTTCCTCGGAAGATGTGGGATGCGCACCGACTACCTTGCGGCCTTATTTTTGCATAGAGATTGAAGACTGGCACGTGTCTAGGATATTCGCTCCACCCTTCCTGCCCCTTTCTTGTTGGAAAATACCCTCTTCGTAAAATGTGCTATGATACATGATAATGCGCCGCCGCACAGTGGATCGAGTCGATAAGAGAAGTCGGACAATATCTGGAAACTTCGAGGACGAATATTTTCCAAAATATGAAAAAAATAAGTTTAAGGCTTAAAAAAAGGTGAGGCCAAAATGAAGAGGATATCCCACGCTATAAATACGCGATAAATACGCTATCCTGAGAGTCCACGTCTTCATCAATACAAACTCTCCATGCAAAGATAGGGAGCAAATACATTAGCAGGGTTGCCACTTTATTTAGGGACTCGAAAACTGAAAACCCGGCATCCCTGCTATAATGTATTTGCTCCCTATCTTCGCATGGAGAGTTCGTCTTGATGTAGATGTGGACTCTCAGGATAGCGTGGGATATCCCTTCAATTTTAGCCTCAACTTGAGAGCTTTTGATAAGCTTGGGAGTTGATTTCAGAGAAAACCAGTGGCACCATTGTGTTTCTCGCTAACTTTTATAGAAGATTCACTGCTAGTTACACATAAACCCGCACAACCGTTTTCAGTTTTCGTGTAAAGAGTGAAATTGCCGGATTCAATTTGGCGACAGCTGAAGTGGCTTGGTTCCTTTCTGCTCAACGCGGCCCAAATGCAGTTAGACTAGATAGAGTCCCTTTATACTGAGAGTCAAAACAATGTGAATCCATTTCTGATTGGTTCCCGTATTTTAGGCCTCCACAGTGTCACAAACGGGAATAAAGATTACATTTTCACCGATTGAAAATATTATAATCTGGAATGGACCAGGGAATTACGGGTTCGGCAAGGAACAAGCGAAATGAGAGAAGGAACGGAGAAAGGAATTTGAGAATGGGCCGATCAAAGATTACGAAAAACGTTCAATTTGTGTAATATTTATTCCCGTTTGTGACTCCATGAGGGGGTGTTGTCTTGACTCTCAGTATAAGGGGACTCTAGCCCAAATGCAGTTAGACGAGGCAGTGAGATCAGAAATAGGAGGAACTCCGGGTTAGGAACCGCTTCAATTTAATGGTGGGCACACGCTGAACATCCGTCAAGCAACAAACGCTGATCCGAGACCTCCTCTTGAGTCCTCTCTTCCCCACACGCGCCGCGCCGCGCCGGCCGGCCGCGATGCAATTATTTCGCGGGAAAGGCTCTCATCGAGGGGGACAGCGGACCGGGGCGAAAAGGGGGGGGGGGGTGAAAAACAGGCTCGGGAGATTCGGACGAGGGGGGCTTACCTGTTTGGCCGTAGGCAAAGATGCAGGCGTTGTAGCCTTGGAATGCGTTGTCCAGGATGTCCCTGCCCACGCGGTTGAACACCATCTCCTGCGAGGCGAACTGCGGGCTCCCATCGTCCAGCGAGAAGAAGCAGTGGTCGAAAGCGAACGTTTTCACCGCTTTCCTGTCGGCAAAAAAATTGGGAAGGCTCGGGTTAGAAACATAATCGACGTGCGGTTGGGAAAGTTACTTTGTCAAGAGAGGAAATTAGGGGTTTCGCTGTTAAGAATCGAGGAGTGAAATTCGGTGCCGGAGTCTAAAATTCGCCCAAAAACTCAAAGCTATATGAATCTAAAGTGACATTACGACGGTGTAAGTCGGCAATCACATAACTCGGTTTGCGACGTCGCAGACTTCCTGTCATACTTTATTTTTTAAACGGAAAACTACTCAACGACAATTCTTTAAAACTGTCGTGATTTTTCTTCTCTATGTGAAGAAAATTCTGCAAAAACTGCAAGAAATGATATCAATTAATTTCTTCTCCTTTAAAAAATATTATAGAGGCGGAGATTTTTAGACACTCCAAACGAGTTACGTGATTGCCGACTTACACCGTCGATTAGCACCGTACAAGTGTTATGGCCTATGGCGCTCCACAATGGGAGAAAATTCCGCTATGTAGTACTGTCAAGCTAAGGAAGAAAGCCGTATGAACAATCGAGAACTGCCAACTTTCCCCGGATAAGACATGTATTACAGAGAAAAGTCGCGCATATTTTTCTCCAAAATTTTCAGATATTTTAGATTAAATTGCAAACAAAATTATAAGAAAATTTGGAAGGAAAATATTCCAAACTTTCCCAAAAATTCGTGTTTTATTGAAGGAAATTTGGCAACGTCTGAGGGTTCATCCGGCGTTCTTCCTCAACTCGGCAGAATAGTGTAGGTCACTTTGTAAGGAGAATGAATTCCGCTCCACATCCATATCACTCGGGGTTTATGGGCGCTAAATAGACTCTGACACAGAATTTCACTAAAAAATTTCTAACAGTGTTTGAGGGTGAGCGCAGTTTTTGAAAAAAAATTAAGACATTAATAATTTCACCTAAAACTAGTCTTAAAATATATTCTGTGAAAAACTCGCGCCCAAATTCCAATTTTCAAAGCACCAGAAAGTGAGTTTAAACATTCTATCCGCCTGATGCTCCATGTTATTTCAAAAGTTTAAACACGTAATTCTCGAAACAGCCAAAACTGACGTTTATGCGCCTCGTCCTGCAAGCCTCCCAAATAACTTTCCATGTAGGTTTTAACGATACAGCGCAACAGTTTCTGGCCAAAATATCGCCATCGAGTCATCGACAACCAGGGAGTGGTTTCCATGTTCAAAATTCAAAAATTCCCTGATTTTACGGAACATGCTCTGAAGAAACTGCCACCTAGATTGGTGGCGTTCACGATCGGCGATAGTTTTAAATGCCGTGATTTTATCACGATTCACATTCATAGGCAATTTAGGTAATTTAGAGTCATTTACAGTCATTTTGGAGTTGATTGGTCACTTAGTGTCGATTTCGGTCAAAATAATTAAAATATCGTCTTTATTAAACAATTATTTATGCACTGGAAAAAAACACATTGAATCTAGAGTCTAGACTCTTAAAAACATCGACAAGAAGAAATATTCTTGATTCAATCAGATTTAAGCTTGGATCAAGAACCCAGCCTCTTAATTTGAGCGTATTTCCTTTTGATTTAAGCTTAAATCTGATTGAATCAAGAGTCCTTCTTCTTGTCAATGTTTTCAAGAGTCTGGACTCTAGATCCAATATGTTTTTTTTCCCAGTGTATTTAGAAGAAGAAGAAAAAACAAAATACTCTAGAGATGAAAATTCACTGTAAGTCAACCGCTGTTCAAAAACGAAACCGCCACCTAGATTCATAATTTCAGCTTCGACTTTAAACCAAGTTCAAATAGAAAAAAAAAACCTCGTTGACTTCTGAAAAATAAACATTTCGCTGCGGCGGCACAGAAATAAAACCTGATTTAACGTCTGGAGGGAGTGCGGGGGTGTGTGTAGTCGTTTACGAGGCCCTTTCATCATCGGCGAGGAAACGCTAGGAAATGCGACCTGGGTGGATTCCCGGGAAAACTCGGCGGTGATTAGCCTGCCGCCTCCAGGGAGAGCTAAGAAATTGCGAACCCGGGTCAAGGGGCGCGCAGCGCGTTGCAGGGTCGTCGCGGAAATCACGGTTTCTACTCTGTTTCGAGGGCGTTTGTACTTCCTTTACTCCAACGGTTACTCATTTAAACGCAAGGATGCTTTATGAACCAATGTATCAATAACGTTCGATAGTGGTTTGATGTATCGTTTGGTTAAAAAAAATAGATCAGGGTTCCTAGCCATTGAAAAAAAAAATTCCCTGACATTACCTTGATTTTCCTAGCAAAAACGGCTAAAATACCGGAGTAAAATTCGAAATACCCTGACTGACGGATAAAATATAATTCTCAGACAAAAAGGAAGAAATTCCGAATTTTTCGACAAGTTTGAACTGATTAGATGTAAGTAAGAAGCTTTTTCATGTTTTAGGAATATAATGTAGCTGAATACATGACGCTTGAACATATGCGAGTTATTTTTGCCTCATTTTAAAAATTTCAAAGACATCAGCAGAAATTCCCTTCAAAGTAAAATTCGCGAAACGTTTTCAGGAAAATCCGCGTTTTCCGATGTCCCTGACACGAAAATCGCCTGCATATAAAATTCCTTGACATGTCGAAGTTTTGCAGATTCCTTGGCGTTCTCCCTGATTTCCCTAATACCCAAAAAATTCTGTGACATTTCCCGGTTCTGCCAGTTATCCCGGTTGCTAGACACCCTGGAACATAGCTTCAAACAAAAATTCTAGGATTTAATTCAGAAAAGTTAAAAAAAAAGAATATACCTAACAGTTCTACTCTACATTGTCATGTAGTACTCATAAGAATCAAAAATCAATCACAAAAACCCGTTCCCACAAATTACTCGATCGACTTTTGAGGCCATGTTTACATGTCGAACCAATCAATATCGAAACGATCTCAGTGAAAGAACGCCTACTTGATGTATCAAATCGTATTCATCAATAGAGAATAAAGAAAAACACGAATTTCAGTTGTGGTGCGTAAAAATGGCTGCTTTACTTTAATCCTCCCTGGGAAAAACATGTATTTTAATGCGCGAAAACACACCGACAGCCCTGCAGGAAGATTAACCTACTGCGCGTCTTGTTACACCAATTTTAATGAGCTGGTGCTTGAATTAAACCTGAGAGTATGATTGAATGCACTAATGGAGGCGGCGGCGCGGGAAAAGGGACCTCCTGAGTATACTGTTGCACGGATTTTAATCAACTTGCCCTAAAATATTCCTAACAGGATGACTAATGTGGTTTTTTTATGTGAACCCGGTTTCTTCTATGACCGTTTTCCAAAAATGATCAAAGCTCCACAGATTTTGAGGAGACCCTTGCCTTGACATTCAAACTTACAGACTTGTTGAAACGTTGCTTACGTGAAATTTTTAGACCTCTCAAAGAAATCATCGAGTTTTGGAATCTACAGGATGTCTTACCGCGCGCGAGAAAAAGAAATCATAAAGATTCGATCGGAAAAGTTCAGTGAGAGCTCAGCTTTTCCTTATTTAGCTTTTCAAGCCCTCCGATAAATAAAAATAAAACTTCTGAACTACGCTTTTATCCTAAAAACCAGTTACCTATTTCCAAGTAAATGAGACTAAATGATAAAGATTCATGGAGCTTTGAATCCTTTACAAAATGAGGGGTTGAAAATTCAAACGGTGTGACGCTTCAACATTGAATTGAAAACTGTATGTTTCCCTAGTGAGTAACTCGTCAGCTTTGTTTATTGTTTTCCTCCTCTTCTTTTTCGTCTTTCTTTACTTTTTGGTCTCCTTCTCACGAAAGAGAATAGTGGTGTATGCCTTTGAAACTATAGTCGCTCTTTAGCTCACGCATTTAAATTTAAAAACACTTACAAATATTAAAATGAGAAAATAAATCGACAGCAAATTAGTCGCGAAACAACATTTTATAATCTTCCCGTTCGGACGGTCTTTTTCGTTGTCTCGGGGTAGCGATGAGACAACATGGCGAATTGGCTCATTGCAGCCGAGTTTCTTATCATGATAATGACAGTAGTGGGTGAAAATCGATTTCAAGGGTTTTCGCCGGTAAACAAGAGCCCGCGGGTGGATGGTTCAAGCTCACCGAGTTGCCATACCGCGAAAAATGGGTCGGAAAAGGAGATTTGAATATCTGTGCGAAACATTTTCCAAAAAGGCGGCCAGTATGTTTATAAAGAACATAATAATTGCTATACTCTGCGCGTTCCATGTTCTATGTTCTATGCACACGGCGATGCGTGAATAAGTAATTGGATTGAAAATGTCGGGGTATGATAAATTGGACCGCGCGTTTAACAGACAGGAACCAAGCCACATCAGCTATTGCCAATTTTAACCGGGCGATTTAATTTTTTACGAGAAAACGTAAGCAATACTTCAAAACGCCTTCAGCTATTCGTATATGCAATACGGACATCCATCGAGCACGAATAGTTGCATCAAGGCGCTGACATCGACGTGTCTTCGTGTCCATCGATAAAGACTGCTGTGGTTTGTGTGCAGTAAGTCAGGACGCCTTCAGATTTTTGCATATGCAATGTGGACATCCATCGAGCACGAATAGTTGCATCAAGGCGCTGACATTGACTCGTCTTCATGTCTATCAACAAAGACGAGCCCTGCACTATGTGTGCAGCAAATCAAAACGCCTTCAGTTGTTTGCATATGCAATATGGACATCCATTGAGCACGAATAGTTGCATCAAGGCGCTGACTTTGACTCGTCTTCGTGTGCATCGCGGATCTAGAATTGAACAGAGTATTAAAATACGCACCAAGTCTCATTTCGGGGATGATCACGAGCTACGGCAAGGGTAGTTTTGCATTCAACGAGTCGTCAATTTGCTTCAGTAAAATTTTTAAATTAACAAATTGTTTTCAAAATACTTATGCAATACACGGAGAAAAATCTATGGCTTATAAACCAATTAGTGGCTCACTTGGAACACCACTAATAGTAGTGAAGGCAACATATAATAATAGTACAAATACC